TGAGTCCCAAAGTGTTTTCAAGGTTATGTGCTTTTTTTGGTGTTGTTTTGTGGTACTGGGGATTGAACCCAGAGTCTTTACATTGAGCTTTGGCTCCCCCCACCCTTTATGTGTTTATTTTGAGACAGCATCTTGCTGAGTTGCCCAGGTGGAGTTTGAACTTGTGATCCTTCTGTCTCAGCTTCTTAGAATGCTGAGATTACAAGTGTGGGCTTCCATGCCAAGCAGGTACGTATGCTTTGAAAGAAAAGATGTCAGTATACAGGCTAAGTAGTTTACATTTAGGGCTGGAGAGAGAGAGCTCAATAGCCTAAGCACCTGTCTGGCAAGCACAAAGTTCTGAGTTTGATCCTCTATACCAAAAAAAGTATTTATGTTTTTATTTTATTTTATTTTGTGGCCAACTCAGCCCACCCTGGGGGCAGGGCTGGCACAGCATGTGGTGCCAGGGATTGAACAGTGGTCCCTGTGCTGCCTAAGCCTGCCTAAGCAGGCACTTTAAACCACTGAGCTATCTCGCCAGCCCAGTATTTACGTTTAAGAGTGCTCTTATTGCAGAGGATCAGTGATGAAAAAGCCTCTGCATTCATCGCTGGTACTGATGTACTGTAACACTTCATTAAGAGCAGCCTGAGAGTTCTTGTTTCTATTTTGAGGCTGGGTCTTTCCTGCCTAGCCTCCTGAGTGCTAGGATTATAGGTATACACTACCATTCCCAGGTAAACCTGAGATAATTATCAGAAAACACCAGTATTACTGTCTTCATTGTTACTACTATATTCTGATGATGTTTGTCCATCTCAGTAGAATGCTCATATCCAGAGGGTAGAGACCATGTCTGTCATGCATCCCTTGAATCTTGGGATAAATCATTGTCGAATTGAATTGACTGGGTGCTGTAACTTGTCCATGGGTCACCACAAACCTAGTAAGTGGCAGATTTAGGATTTAAATCAAACCTACATCATTATCCCAACACCTCCCTATCCAGTTCAGTAAGTACTATAAAGGGAAATGTACATGGTGTTTTAACTTCTTTTAGTTTGCTCCACGTGTATCAAGCACCACTGCCACTAGACTATACCAACACTGCTCTTTATTTCCTGCATTACTGCTAAAGGTACTGAAAGAAGACGCTAAATGTAAAGCCTGATGTAAACTTGGGAGGCTGAGGCAAGAGGATTGCTGTGAGTTCAGGGCCAGGCCAGCCTGAACTGTATAGTGAAACCTTGTCTCAAAAAGAAAAATAATAATAATAATAATTTAACTTCTTAAAAGTAGGTAAGTATATAGCCTCAGCACCATTCTATTTAAGTTCCCTTTTATTCCCTCTGCATGCCAAGTTTTCCCCACTATGTCTTAAATTGGAAAGCCAGGTATGGTTGCTCAACACCTATCGTCCCAGGTGACTACAAGAATGAGAGGATCACTTTTTATTTTTAGATAGGGTCTCGGTAGCCCAAGCTGACGTTGAATTTATGGTGATCCTGCTTCAGCCTCATGAGTGCTGGGATTACAGGCATGTGCCATGATGCCCTGTGAGAGGATTGCTTTGACCCAGGAGTTTGAGAATACTAAGATCTTGTCTCAAAAAGATAAGCCAAGGGCCAGGGAGATAGCTCAGTGGAATAAGTGCTTGCCTGGCAAGCGCTGGGACCTGAGTTCAATCCCCGGTTCCACAACAAAACAAAACAATCAAAAAGATAAGCCTGGGCTGCATAGTGAGTTTAAAACCAGCCTGAATTATAGAGACCCTATCTGCAAAAGCAGAGAGAGAGAGAACAAGCCAAAGATAGAGAACCGAGTATAGCTTACATATCTATACAAGTTTTACATAGTAAATTACAGATTCTAGAGAAGACTAGCTTTTATTTCCAAAATATCAGGGTGGTCCTTGCTCTTTCTCTAGTATAATTTAATGGTAACCTAAAGTATCTTTTAGATTGTAGCAAACTTCTCTGAAACTAGAGGATCTCATTAAGGAATTAAACATGTTAAGGAAACCCTAAAATGTTAGACTTCTTTTGCTCTTAAAACCTACCACCTGTGCTTCTTAAAGGTTCTGGCACATTCTGTAAATTTTTGGCTATGAAATTAGTGTACAAGGCATTAATTTACCTTCATTTCTGACACCAATTACAGGTTCAAGGGTGTCTAAAAGTGTTCTTATGTACAGTTTAGTAGACCCAGAAGGATTCACTGAAAGCTAATACATACATGATTTTATTACAGTGAAAGTGTACTGAGGGAAATCTCTGGGGCAGGGTCTAAGAAGTTTCCAGTGCATAGCTACTTGCATGCTTCCTGTGGAGTGTTGGTTAGTGTTACTTCTCTGGCAACAGTGTGCCCCAATACCCTACCCTGCCATCAAATTCTACTTTGCCAACCTTCATACCCAGAGTTTTTACTGGAGCTCATCAGGTAAACATGATCAGCTAAACTTATAGCAAATTTCGGTGCTCAATTCCTGGGAAGTGGTGGAGAAACCATGCAGCTTGCTCACATACAGTCAGGTTGGTAGACAGGACTCAAGACCCTAGGCAAATAAAAACTATCAAGCCTGATATCTCAACAATTTAGGGATAAATAAATGCTAAGAAGCAAGGGTAGGGGCCGGGGAGATGGCTCAGTGGAATAAGCCCTTCCCTAGCAAGCACAAGGGTCTGAGTTCAATCCCTGGTTCCGCCAAAAAAAAAAAAAAAAAAAAGCAAGGGTGAAGGCCAGCCTTGTGAGCAAGGTTATATTTTTTACATTTGTTTTCCAGTTTTTTAGATTAATCTGTATTACGCCTTTAGTTTCTCCCCCCTGCCTCCCTGAAAATCCTACCTTCCCTGAAGGAAGTGCACTGGAGCTTTGGTGTCCAGAGTTTTTATTGGAGTTCAGCATATAGGCATAATCAACAGACCATACAATGGGCTACCTGCAGTGGTGCACACTTGTAATGTGAGCACTCTGGGAAGCTGAGGCAGAAAGACTGCAAGGTCCATGTCAGACTCTGGAGTTTAAGGCCAGATCTTGTCTGAGCTGAAAAGTGCTGGATGATGGAGCCCAACGCAAAGGTCCCGATCTCCATCCTTAATACCAAAACCAAACCATATGACAGATCTTAGATTCTAGTCTATCAGGTTGAAAGAGGTTTTTTCTTGCTTTTTGTTAGATTTCCCTCCACGCTTGTGTTCAGCTAGAAACAGTTGTGCCTCTCATTACTGCCAGCACCTCTAGGGAAACTTGTTGGTCAAAGAGCCTTCATTGCATGGGAAAGGATGTCACTTTCCGCAACTTTTTCCTGCTGCTTAATAAAGTATCTCAGAAGCTGCTAATTCTGATCCCTCTTCTTTCTGACTTACAGAAATTCATAGGGGGTGGGGGATGAGGGAAAGAGCACTGTGGAGCTACACTTCTAAAGTGGAGGTCCACGTGACCGACATACCAGAAATCTTTAATGGGTAACAGGAGTACATAGGTAGCCCACTGCTTGTCCCGTCCTTTCCTTTATGGTGGAATAAATACGGAAATTCTAGAGATCATGGATACTGTTATGGGTCACTCAGAATAGGAACCAGATCAACCAGATTGGAATTTGGAAAGCCATTTATTACTGAGCGCTCAGGGCCCTCCGGTCTGCTCTCACGCAGGAGAGGACCGAAAGGCGGCAGCCCAGGAAGCAGGAAGGGGTTTTAAACCCTGGAACCACACTGAGTTTAATAAGCAAATTCATTGAATGACTACAGTCAGTTTGGTAAACAAATTCATTGTCTGACACAAAATAATGCTTTCAGAGTGATTTGGGGCCACAATTCAAACTACATTTCCGGGGCTTTTTCAGTTTCTGGTTAATTTTCACCTGAGTACCTGCAGGCAGCCTTGCATAGCCGGGAGGTTTCAAGAAGATAAAACCCATTTAGTTTCCTTTGTCATCTCTGTAAGCTAACTTTGCAGACAGGAATTGGTGAGGGTCCCAGGGATTTTATCTAGCAAACAGCAAGAAACAGCCACTAGTTACTAAACAACTTAGAACAGTGGTAAGTATACATTTTTACAACAGAAAGCACAAGATTTAATTTATAATCTAAAACGTGAGTTGACTCATTACAGATACAAACTCTAAAACTTAGAAGGTGGTCTATAAAATGGGTCCGAGGATCCCAATACACACTACTGAGTATTTTCGTAAGAAACAAGAGTAGAGGCTCAGTCCTTTTAACTCGTGGAAAGCCCCTAGCACGAGACAAATCTTTTTTTTTTTTTTTTTTTGGAACAGCCATAAAAACCTGTCTTTAGACTGCAAGGTTCAAACCCTGACTTCATTTATTAATCCTGTATTCTGATAAATGGAGTGAATAAAGGTTCCAACAATACAGAATCCGCCTAAGGAAGACAGGCAATCCCTTTGCGGTTGAACCCTCCAACCCAGCCACAGCCGAAGGCCAGCAGACTTGCGCACCGCTCAGAGTCCTGTGTGGCCTGCTGCCACTCACGCCGCGCAAGCGCAGTCCAGCTGCCGGGGCTTCCTCCTAAGCTCGCGTGCTGGTCGGCGCGGGAGACCAGCTCTCGCGATGTGTGCGTGCGTGTGCGCGGTTCTCACGAGCTCGCGCACGCCGCCTCACTACGGGGCTTTGGCGGCGTCTTTCTTCAGGGTCCGTGGCCCGGCGGTGCCCCGTGGCTACTGCTGGAGCTTGGCTCCGGAGTCCGCCTCGCCGCCGCCACCACCTTCGTAGCCTGCCTTCTGCCTCGGATTCTTCTCTGCCCCGTCCAGAGACGGTTGCTCCCGTGTGAGGCTCCCGGCCGATGGGCAGCACCTGGACGCGCTGAGGGGCCGGGCTCGGAGCGGTCGAGGTGGGTGGGCGCGCGGGTCCGCCGCTGGGGGAGCGGCGGCGGGGCGGCGGCGCCCGCGGGGGAGGTGGACGCGCGGCGGGGAGGGGCGCCCGGGGCGGGAGGAGCTGTACAGCCGGCGCCGCTAGGGGCTGTGGCCTGGCCCGCCGCGAGCGAGCGAGGAGCGAGCGGAGGAGGGCGCGGGCGCAGCCTGCTTTCCCAAGTGCGGAGCGGTCCGCGGGGAAATTCCTCCTGCGGCGGGGCGAAGGCTCACCCTTTCTTTTCTGAGGTCAAAATCTCCAGTCTTCTCTCCGCCCTTTAAATAAAAGCCTGCACCTCGGAGAGTGGCTTCCAGACGGAGTGGCCTGCGGACTCTGAGGCTTGCGGAACTCCGAATGGAGGCAGCGGGTTGCGAATTTTGAGGTTGGGAGGGTGCAGCCCTTTCTCTAGAGGGGCTCGGATCTGTAGCAAACTTGTCATTGCCAAGACCTATATTAATAGTTGCTCTCGGACTCACAACAGGTAATACATTTTTGAACGACGGGTGTCTTAAGAAAACTGTGCCGTGGGGCACAATTAGGGAGTAGAGAAGACAAAGGAGGCTGTTATTTATGTTTTGTCCCGGTGTGAAACTTTCCGTGGAAAGGCAGAGAGTATAGCAGCTGGCCTTTGCTGGATAGTTCTTCAGAGTCATTAAACTGAGTCGAGAGCACTTTATTTAGAATCATAAAATCCTATATGGTTATGTATAATTGTAAGTTAAATGGCTTGTAGTAAATGTCTGAGAATTATGTGATGTTTGATCTGCAGTGAAGAGCAGAACGTGGGTTTCTTGAAAAGATCTCTGTTTAGAAAGAGACATTCTTCATGAATGTTAAGTTACTAAAAATAGTTTTTTTCTTTTGGAAGTAATGACTGCCACAGTCAAAATGAGGGAAAAATAATTGATTTAGTAGTTAAAAACAGTGAAACAATTGCGGAGACAGCAAGTTGGTAGAAATTACAAATTAGCCAGAATATATGAAATCAAATATATGAAAGCTGTTAGTTGACTCGCTTATTTTCAGTGAACCGTTCATTTTAAATGATAATTTTCGACTATTGGAGATCGACAGTCTGTTCTGTGACTTTTTTTTTTTTTAAACAGGGAATCCACAGTAGATCAGGCTAGGGTTGAATCCATTGTGTAGCCCAGGCCAGCAGTCTTTCTGCCTCAGTCTCCCAAGTGCTGGGATCACAGGCATGTTCCACCATGCTTCATTTTTTTCTTTCTTTCCCTTTTTTTTTTTTTTTTTGGTTTGTTTGTTTGGAAACAGTCTCAGTATATCGGTTCAGGCTGACTTTGAACTCACTCTTGTAGCTCAGCTTGGCTTCTTAACTCACAGCCTCCTGCCTCACCCTTCCTAGGGCTGGGATTACACCCCTGTGACAGCATGCCCAACTTCATTCTTTCTTAAGAAAAATGGCCTGTGTACTTTCAGTGAACCAGTGGTCCTAATTCCTGTCTTTTAGTAAGTCTGAAAGTATGAGAGGATAGGTTTGAGCTGTTTACTTTTACTTTTGTTCACTTTTGTTTTTGTTTTGCACAGTGCTAGGGATTGAACTCAGAACTTCAGGCATCAGAGACAAGCACTAGACACTGATTTAGGCCTCCAGACCTTTTTGTTAACTGTTTACATGACTCATTGGTCTAGTAAATTTCTTGGCAGTAGCAAGAGAGGGAAATCAAGAACAGATAAAAGATACACTCTGTAGTAGTGTTTTTTGTGTCAGTGATTTATCGTCTTTCCATTGGGGTAAATAGGTTTACCTCCTCCATTCTGTGCCTCAGTTCTTAAAATAGTGTTTTATTTTGCTTTGTTTTGTTTTGACACAGGGTCTCATTGTGTATTCCAAGCTGGCCATGAACTCCTTTGTTGCACAAGCCGGCCTCGAACTCATCACTTAGCTCCTAAGTGCTGGGATCATGGGCATGTGTTACCACACCCAGCTTAGAATAGTGTTTTGCATGGAGTTGGTCCAATAAATGTGAACTATGTCAGAAATAAACATAGCTGGATATGGTGGTTCGTACCTGTAATTTGAAGGGCCGGGGAGTTAGCTCAGCGGTATAAGTGCCTGCCTAGCAAGTATGAAGTCCCGAGATCAACCTCTGGCACCAAAAAAAAAAAAAAAAAAAAATCAGTACATACCTGTAATTTGAGTACTTGGGAAGCTGAGACAGGAGAATGGTGACTTGAGGCCAGCCTGAGCTACCTCAGGTTTGAGGGCTGGGCTAGGCTACAAGATGAGATCCTGACTCAAATTTTGAACACATACACACCTAACATAATATAAATCAGAGGCATAAATTCCTGTATGTAGAAGATTAAAGGGATTGGTGATGGTATGCTTTTTTCTTTTAATTACAGGTTTAATTTTTTAAATTTTTTTTTCCCAGCGTGGATTGCTGTCTTGAGTAAAGGGTATGTGGTGACATTTTGCCTCTAAAAGTTTTACATAATATAAGCCGAGTTTATATATCCTGAGTATTGACAGATCATGAATGTTCTATCATACTAAGAAAATGAAGTAAAGTATGTAAGGTTCAGAGGGAAGGTTTTGCTAAATTTAGTGATGGAGACTGAAAAAGCATGAACTATAAATCATTGGAACAGATTGTAGAGAGAAGTGTTTTTCCCCATAACTGGCAGTGGGAGAAAGAACTTGTATTTCCTTTTTTTTTTTTTTTTTTTTTTTTTGTAACAGTGTTCCAACTGGGTGACTGGGTGATTTCTGGATAATATTGAGCTAGCTCTGGTTGCACACACCTGTAATCTGAGCATTTTGGAGGCTGAGGAAGATTGCCATGAGGCCCTGTCTTGTATTTTAAAAAAAGTGAATGCTGAAAATGGTTTAATTTTTTTCTTATAGCCTTCTTCAAGGTTTGTATGTTTCTCCTATTTGTGAATGGTCTCTGCTCCAGCTTTATTGGCAGTAAACTGTTATTTTGATTCCTATTTAATTCTTTATTTCTCAATTAATATGTAACTTGGAGAGAAGAATGTGATTGGTCCAATCACAAGTATCAAAATTGGCTTTTCCTATTTGACTTTATATGTTACTTTAGGAAAGTTTTGTATTTGCAGAGGTCGAGGGTAAAGTATATAAAAATTTAAGCAAGATTTTTTAAGAGAGACATGAAAGGGGATGGGGAGATAGCTCAGTGGTCTAAGCGCTTGCCTGGCAAGTACAAGGACCCTGGTTTGATCTCCAGTACTGCATACCATGCATGCTGGACATGCAACAACAGCCACCGAGTCTCTGGGCATGGTGATGCACATCTGTAATCCCAGCTCCTGGGAGGCTGAAGAAAAGAGGATCACTTACAAGTCTGAGCTGCATAGTGAGTCATGAGAAGGATTTATAAGAGGTAGATATAGAATGTACTCAAGTGGAGTGCAGGTACTCAGAAATGAATCTAAACAGGAATATTTTGTTTTGTTTTGTTTCTGAGACGGTATCACTGTGCAGTGCAGGCTTGAACTTGATTATGTAACCTATGCTGTCCTCAAATTCATGACAGACCGGGATTATAGGTGTATGCTACCATGACCAGCTCTAAACAAAATATTTTAAAATAGAGTTTTGCAGCACTCCTTGCTGGCCTCTGCTGAGATGTGACTGAGACTGGGCTTGGTGGCTTGCGCCTGTAATCCCAGTGCTTGGGAGGCTAAAAACAGGAGAATCTTATGAGTCCCGTCTGTGTAGTGAGACCCTATAGACCCTGTACTAAATACATTTTTTAAAAAATAGAGTTTTAAGTTATATTTTCATTTTAGTAGGGTACAGTGGCAGAGAGTGATTTTGACCCCTGGGTACATTTGGCCATATCTGGAGAAATTCTTGGTTGTTAAACATTTAGAGAGAGGGAGAAAAGAGGCAGCATTGTTACTGACATTTAGTGGATAGAAGCCAGAGATGATGCTATTTGGCTTTACTACTTTCTAATGTGTTCCTGGCAGATTGCATAAAGTCTGCCTGTTTTTCTAAAATAGAGCTGATAAGATTAGGTTCTCATAAGCAGGTACTGCACCTCAAATCAGATAATGTACGAAGTGGTAAGTGACACTCGTACAGTCCCAACTAACTACTCAGGAGTTGATACAGGAGAATTACAAGATGGAACCTAGCCTGGGTGACTATCTTATAATAAAAAAGAACTGGGGGTAGGGGGATGTAGCTTAGTGTAAAGGCCTGCCTTGGACTCAGTCTCTGGTACTGCCAAACAACAAACAGGGACAACAAACCTAATTGTCAGTATCTTTAGAAAGTGAGAGAAAAATTTTCAATTTAATATTGGCTTCAGCCCTGTCTTATTTTATATTTTCAGGGCTGTAAGGCTCTTGCTATAAGCAAGTAGCTTCTCACTGAAGATTTTTTTTTTCATAGTTAAGAACTTAAGTCAGCTAGCCAAGAGCTCTGTGTCTGTTCTCAGTAAATATTTAGAAATTAAATAGAACAATTGTGTGACTTCATTTTCCTTTTTCTTTTGTTTGTTTTCATAATGCAAAGTAAATTTAAAGTGGTTTTGGTTCACCTGTTTGTGACATTTGTAACTATTTTCATAACTGAGGTCTTTTTTTTTTTTTTTTTTTTTTTGGTCTTTTTGAGACAGGGTCTCAGTTTAGGCTGGCCTTGAGCTCACTTTGTAGCTCAGGCCGATCTCAAACTCCTAAGCATCTGTCTGCCTCAGCCTCCCAAGTGCTGGGGTTACAGGTGTGCACCACCACGCCCGGCTTCATAATTTCAGTCTTGATGCACTTTTATGTATGTCAGTGGTATAGGTAAACATCTAGTGACTTGGGACTGGACCTTAATTTACATTTCGTGACTTTTCTAAATTGGAACTATATCTTTGTTGTCTTGTTGCAATATAATGTAATCTTTGTACAATACATTTGTTATATGTGTAAACTATCTGATCATTTAGGACTGGTTTGCTGTGGGATGGTTTGAATATATTCATTTGGTTTTTTGCTTTGCTGGAAATCAAACCCAGATCTTGTCTTCTGTGGTAGGCAAGCAAGTTCTGTATCACTTGAGCTGTATCTCCAGCCCCACAGTAGTTTGTTTGTTTGTTTGTTTCTTTTCTTTTTTTTTTTTTTTTTTTGGAATTAGAGGTTGCGCTTATTCTACTGAGCTATCTTCCTGGCCCAGTAGTTTCTTTATATAGAGAAGAAAATTCACAAGCATATCTTCATAGACCAAATAGACTTTGGAGCCTCATTCATACTTCTGTAATTGTGATCGAGGGAGAAAGCTGTGTTGTACCTTCAGTGTTTCATCTTTAAAATAGGAAGTGTTTCATTGTTGTTCTTACCCATATTTTTATAGTATAAATCTTACCTGTTTATATATAGTGTTCTTGTTTTAGCTAATGATAACCTTAATCACTCTTAGTAGTGGTACAGTTTTATATTTAGATACAGGAAATTTGAAGTGAGTCAGTATCTTGAGCCAAGAGATTGGGTTGTTTGGCACACTATACCTTTGTATAGTGAAACTTATACTTGGTTCTGTTTAAATGATAAATTATAATGATGGAGCATTTGTCTTGTGGAAATTGTGGTAAACTAGAAGTATACCTATGAAAAATACAATAAAAGGCTAAAGAGACGCATTCTACGCAAGTTATAGTGACAAACTAAAAAAAAAAAAAATGTTAATAAGAGTTTTTGGTCTTTACTATTATTTTTTCAGGGATTTGGTAATCCCATACGCCGGGCACAGTGGCGTATGGCTAATTCCAGCCTTTGGGAGGGTAAGGCAGGAGGATTGCTGTGAGAGGGCGGGGCAGCCTGGGATACATAGCAAGATCCTGTCTAAAAAACCAAAAACCAGAAATCTCAAACTGAAAACCTTATGTAAAGGCTGACGAGATAGCTTAGCACATGTGGACCACGGTTCAATCCCCAGCACCACATGCTGCACCAGCCCGATCCCCAGGGTTGGGCTGAGCCAGCCAGAGTCCGGGCTGTGATGGCACATGCCTGTAAGCCCTGCCCTGGAAGGCTGAAAGCAGGAGGATCCCCACAAATCTGAGCTATGAGCTTTGTGGTGAAACTCTGTAACAACCAAATATATGTGAGAGTGAGTGAATGAGAGAGAGAGAGAGAGAGAGAGAGAGAGAGAGAGAGAGAGAGAGAGAGAACAGACAAGAGAGGCCTATAAAATGTAACATTTGTTTCTACTTGGAGTAGAATATTATGGCTAGTCAACTAGTATAATTTAGTTAACTTGGTACTTGTTGCTAGTCATGATTAAACTGAGGAAAACAAGGATGCTTGAGTTAGCTGATACATGTTTATAAATGATTTGGCACCCTGTCAGCCTAATTTTCGGTAGTCTGCATAGTTACTGGAAGATAGTTTTCCTAAGCCCTGTCATACAGCTAGATGCATATTTGTGTATACGTATTTATGCATATTTGTGTTTTTTTTTTTTTTTTTTTTTGGTAGAAAATGATGCATCCTGTTGCCAGCAGTAATCCAGCATTCTGTGGCCCTGGCAAGCCTTCCTGCCTGAGTGAAGATGCCATGAGGGCCGCTGATCAGTTTGATATATATTCCTCCCAGCAGAGTAAATACAGCCACACAGTCAGCCACAAACCAATGGTTTGTCAGAGGCAAGACCCACTGAATGAAACACACTTGCAGACTACAAGTGGCAGAAGCATAGAGATAAAAGATGAACTAAAGAAAAAGAAAAATCTCAACCGATCTGGTAAGCGTGGCCGGCCCTCGGGAACCACCAAATCAGCAGGATACCGGACCAGCACAGGCAGACCCCTGGGAACTACCAAAGCGGCTGGATTTAAGACAAGTCCAGGCAGACCTTTGGGTACAACTAAAGCTGCGGGATACAAAGTGAGCCCAGGGAGACCTCCAGGTAGCATTAAAGCTCTATCCCGTCTTGCAGATCTTGGTTATGGCTGTGGCACTGCTGCCTTTCCTTACCCTCTGATGCACAGCAGAGCAATTCATGGGGTAGAGGAGAGCAGCAGTGAAGTCAAGCCACCCAGTGAGTGAGTGAGACAGGAGACGAGGGCTGGGTTTAAAAGGAGATTGTGAATAATCCCAAAGCTTCTTGGTTTGACTTTGACAGACATAATTTTACAGCCTGGGCTTTCCAGATTTGTTTTTCTGTTTGAGTTTCCCTCCTGCTTTTGCTCAGAAGCTGCTGTTTGCTTACAGATGCACTCAGGGCACGAGCAGTGGCATTGTATTTGTACATAGGTTCAAACGTAATACTTAAGACATTTTTCCTTTTCCTTTCAATTGTGTCTTATGTTTCATTAGTACTTTTTGGTCATTCTTAATAGATGCTTTATGTGCTGAACAACTGAAATTATCATACATATTAGTTTGTGAGGTAAGCCTATGTTACCTAAGGGATGGAGCATGAAAACAAACTAGTTGGCTGAAGAGATAGCTCAACAGCATAAGCGCCTGCCTGGCAAGCTCAATGTCCTGAGTTCAATCCCCAGTAACACCCCCCCCCCAAAAAAAAAAAAAAGAAAAAAGCAATCTAGTGATTCAGGATTACTTGAGGTAATGGCCGTGTGAGTTTTCACATTTATATTCATGAGATATGACACAGCTATTTGAATTTATATAGACTTCAGATGTTAAACTTACTGTAGTGTTCTGAGTTCAAGCAGCTTCTTATTTACTGATCTACATAGCATTAATTGATTTAACCATTATTCTTAAAAGAATTCCTTAGGGGCTGCCTTTCAGCAGTGATACCTATAAGCATATGTACCAAACACTATGAACAGTTCATTATTTACAAAAATTTAAACTATCTTATAAAAGCTGCACATTACCTTTTTAGAGAAATACAATGCATTCTGAGAATAGCATATTTAATAGAAAAAGAAATATTAAGATCTGCATGTAGCTACAGTCATTAGTTTTATACTTAGTTTTAAAGTATTATGTTTAAAAGGTTTATTAGTGTTGCTCATTTATTTGGAATTTAAAAAATTTTTTCTGAGAAATTGTCCCATTGCATTAACAATTAATTTCAGGTTTATGGCTATCAAAGGACACAAATTGAGTGGTAGACTGTAAAACTGATATAAACAGAATGCAGTTTCCTAACTCTTGGAATCCAAATGCTATGCATGAAATATATAAGAAGTTTTTGGCTACTCTGATTAAAAATCTTTTCGTGGTTCTAGGAGGCTACTTCATCAATAACACCCCCTCCTCAGTAGTACTTGGCTTTAGAAGCAAGATAGAAAAGAGAAAAATGAAAAAAAAAGAGAAAAATGAATATTGGGCAGATATGTATGTCAGGGACAGCTAAACCTTCCCTTTTCTAAAAGTAATATTCCTTATTAATGTTTTATTCTGAGTTCTAAACAATATCATAAATTTCAGGTTTGAAAAATTCCATTGAATGGGCCAGGGACGTAGCTCAGTGGCATAAGCACCTGCCTGGCAAGCGCAAGGTCCCGAGTTCGATTCCCCAGCACTGCAAAAAAAAAAAAAAAAATCAAGAAAAATTCCACTGAACTTTCAAGTTACAATGTTTGTACATGTGACGTTAAATGCCTTTGAGATTAAAATTAATTTTGCAGGACCCAAAACTTTAAAAATAATTAAAAATTGAAAAGGTCACATACTGTGTTGGTTGGGCTTGCTCTCAATTAATCCAAACTCTGCAAATAGATGCATATTACATACCTTTTTTATCAGGAAAAAAGCAGCAAGCCTTCAGGTGTTCCAGTGATGCCTGATACAATGAGCTGGACTTTTACTGCTCTTTACAGTAAGAGGGTGTTGCATTATATGTGGGGACTATGTGCGCACTGGCGTCTAAGACAGTGACCTCAACAATACTAGCTTTGCACAAACCATAGTGAGCAATGTTGGATAACTTACATAATCAGTTTTAACATTCTGGCAGCTAAAATGCTACAGGAGTTTCTTCTTGCAGAAGTTTAGAATATATTAAAAAAATAATTTTCTCAGAACAGTGTAACTTCTGACACACACAAATGCTTGCATCCTTGTTCACGTGTTCATCTATTTTTCTTCTATGTGTGTAATTTAGCTGTTTCTCTAAATGATATTTAGCAGTTGGCTGCTTAGGAGTCCTTTCTAGTTCCTAAAGACAGCTGTTTAATTAATTGTTCTACTGTAGAATAACTTACCATTATCAGGAATTTGGTTGCATGTTTTGACATTTGACAAATGTTCATTTGTCATTGCTCTTCATTTATGATTTTGTTAAGCATACCTTTTTTATTTCTCCCCTGTCCTTTGCTACATTCATTCCCTTCAACTCTCCCCATTACCGTCCAGCACATCTTCTCAGTGGTGCTGTACTGTGTGTCAGAAGATAAAGCAGGTGTATTATTGTATAATAAATTTTGTATACATGTTAATGAAATAGTGAACTAAAGGAGATATGTTCATCACAGTGTTTATTATCAGGAGCTGTGTCCCAGCGGACAAGGGGCCAGATGGCTACAATTGTGGATGGGTAGCATCATGTAGACAGCTGAGTTTACTGTTCATGTGAGCACCTGGAATATTATATTTGTATACTGGTGAACACTTCCTGATTCCATTTAACTTTTCTCTACATGAACAGTTTACTAGTGCCATGCTGAAGGGAAAAACCTGTAAGTGTTCATATAAATGAAGTCTTAAAATGCAAAATATTTTTACTTCTATATAATCTGAAGACTGTTGTGCATCTTTTGTAACACTGTCTCTTGTCATGATAAACACTGAAATAGCATGTTGAACAGTTGCCTATACTTTAATATAATCAGTTGGGGAAAACTGGCCTTTTCCCTGCACTGTATGATTGTTCCTTAAAAGGTAAATTGCTAATTTTATACTATGTAATTCTGTTCTTCACAAAATAGGTTTCACTATTCTATATAAAACTGTTGGGTCAGAAAATGATCTGCTATTCAAGTAAGTTTGCTTTACTTTTTCTTTAAGAAGTATTTTAACATGCCTTATTTATTGTTAACCATATTAACCAATAGGGTAATACAGATGAAATTTTCCTTTTTTGAAAGATATAACCTTGCATAAAACTAATCTTTAGTAGGGGATGATTTTGATACTATCTTTGGAGTTTTGCACTGGGTATTAAAACTATACTGGCACAATGTATTACAAGAAAATTAGTGTCTGTATTAATTTTTAATATTTGAGGACATTTTTTAAATCCATGTTTTAATTAGACCTAAAAATTCTATTTTTTATTTACTTTTTAAAGGAACTTTGTCAAAGTATTATTCATTCCAAACTGAAGATTGTGTGAATTTACATATATATTTTCATGAAATAAAAATAGAATTTCTTTGTTTTAAAGGAGGAAAAAAAGTCTTGATCCATTTTTTTTTTTCAGTTAAAGGTGATTCATCCAGTGTAAGAATAATTACTGTGTATGAACTAAAATAAATAAATAAACTTCTTTCTATGCTAAGATGCTTTAAAAAATAGTTCAGGGGTATTATAACTGTTATTCTGTCAGTCGTTGTCTATATGCAGTTAAATTTTATGATTTCTTTATACTAAAATGTATGAATTCACAGCAGTTATTGAAAATATTTTTCCCCCCTTGGACATAAAAATTTTGATGCCATTATGTTTTTGTTTTATTATAGCATATCTATTTGTTCTTAAACTCTAGGATGTATCTAAATCTTTCCTTTGCTTTCCACCATCCTACTAAGTCGACACATCTAATGCTTTCACACATAATGTATTTAATTGTTTGAAAATTAAATACTCTAGTAAATCAAGTGTTTTTTAAAGGAATCATATTGTTTGATTCTTCAAGTTTTCAGTTTCTTTTTCCACAGATAATTATGAAGAAAATAGTTACCAATTACTGATGATAAGCACGCTGTCCTCTGCTGTAAAAAGTCTGAATAGATACTGTGTATGTTTTTATGTCCATGAACTTGAGCTACTCATGTGCAATTATGTGTATGGGAATGGAGTAGTGTTCATGATTTGTATTTACATCATCATATGGATGTATATTTATTAATAAAGTCATTACTTTAAAACCAACTATATATTTTGTACTTTTTTTTTTAGCATAGTACTTTTCAAGTAGCAAAATGAAACTTTTCATGATTATAGATAGCATTTTTTCTTGGAATTTTGTATTCTAAAATCTATTATTATTTTTCTTAAAAAGATTAAATATAGGGGCCAGGGAGATAGCTCAGTAGAATAAGCGCTTCCCTGGCAAGCTCATGGACCTGAGTTCAATCCCTGGTTCCACTTAAAAAAAAAAAAAGGGCCGGGGAGATGGCTCAATGGAATAACCGCTTCGCTGGCAAGTGCAAGGGCCTGAGTTCAATCCCCGGTTCCGCAAAAAAAAAAAAAAAAAAAAAAAAGTATATAGCCAGGCATGGTAGTGTGTGCCTATAATCCCAGGACTTGTGAAGCTAAGGCAGGAGGACTGTTGTGAGTTCAAGACCATCCTGGTGTACAAAGTGAGCTTAAGGCGAGCCTGAACTGCATAGTGGGACGCTGTCTCAAAAAAAAGAAAAAAAAAGATCATATATAGAGTCCATCAAAAGTACACTTCATTTAAAAAAAAAATACACTTCAGGGGAAAAAATATTTATCTTTTAAATTTTTTATGTACAAAGAGTTTGCATGGTCTCTAATTGCATGAATATTGGCATGGATAATCCATCAAAGGAAGATCACTTAGTCCAACTTGATGAAGCCAATATCCTTCGCATATTGATGGAAACAGTGTCGGTTCTCGCAGACTCAGCAAGAGTGAGAGCCCTGGCTGAATATCCTTGGGTGGCTCCAGTAGAGCTGCTGGTGACTCATGTTGCTATCAGAGGTACAAGGAGGCAAAAGGGAAAAAAATAGTATGTTTTTTCAGCAGATGGTGTTAGCCTCCTCTGAGAGAACTTAAAGGATGTTGTATGTTACAGAAAACCTCTTACATTGCCAGCCCTTAGAGAAGTTGAAAATGCTTGTACAGCAAACTCAGTGACCAGGGTTACTCCAAGCAGCAGTTCACTATACTAATAGATGTTAGGAACCTGAAGGCCACCACTTTGAGCGCTTCTTCGAATTGTAGGGGTCAAAGCCAGGCATAGTGACACATGCCTATAATCCCAGCACTCAGGAGGTTGAGGCAGGAGGATCACAGGTAGTTCGAGGCTAGACTGGGCCTGCATGGTGAGTTCAGGAAGAGCTTGAATCCTGTCTCAGGAAAAAATTTTTAGAAGACAACGGTAACTTGTATTAATCTCATGATATCTCAATAAATGTAGTGTTAAAATATTTATACTGAGACATTATGGCAAACACCTGTAATCCCAGCAATTTGGGAGGCTGAGACAGGATGTGAATTTGAGGTTGGGGGGGGGGGTACATAATGAATTTGAGGCCATCCTGAACTACAAATCAAGAAGACCCTGTCTCAAAAAATCAAAACAAGCCAGGTGTGGTGGCACACACTTGTAATCTCATCACTCAGGCTGAGGCAGAAGAATTGCTCTGCATAGTTCAAGACCAGCTTAAATTACAAAGTCCCTATCTCAAAAGTCAAAACAAGCCTAGTGTGGTATCCTGTGAACCTGGCATTCAGGAGGCTGAGGCAGACACATTACTGAGTCCAAGGCCTGCCTGGACTACGTATTGACATTTTGTCTCAAAAACCACTTGTCCCAAAAGACTCAAATTATACAAGTTTGTATTTTGAAAATATAACCCCTTAAATCCCTTTTTGTCTGAAGCCTGCAGAAAGCCCACCTTGAACAGAAGGTCCACTCCTTTTTCTAAATAGTTTCACTGAAATGCAGATATTACAGATTGACTTGCTTTTGCATTACAATGGCAGCAGAGTTGAATAGTGACATAAGTTCTACAAACCTTAAGATATTTACTATCTGACCTTTCCTGTACAGAAAAAGGATACTGACCCTTCATGTAGAAGGATAACGTGGAATATTTGGGCTTGATGTGAACTTGCTAAGAACCCCAGGCTGACCTCATAACCTTAAAAAAAACTTCAAAATGATGCCTTTTTTTTTTGTTTGGCTTTTCATATAATGTTCTTCACATTGTACTTCTTAGTGATTTTACATTTATTTTTGTTCCAGTTGAAGCCTGTGTACATGAACATACACTATTAGGTGTGTTGTTCCTGGGAAAAGATGTACAACTTCCTAGTACTAAACCATTTGCTGTGGTTCATTGGGTTAACTGATTGCACATTAAATATATTGTACTGCAACTGTTAGTAATTTTAGAGTTTTATAAAAATATTTGCTTATCACAATTATACTTGTTTGTTCAAGAGAAGATCTCACTGTGCAGTTCAAGCTGACTTTGAATTCAGTCTAGCGCAGGCTGGCCTATAACTTTCAGCTATCCTCCTGCCTCAGCTACC